AAAAAAAAAAAAAAAAAAAAGAAAAGAAAAGAAAGAAAAAAGAAAGAAAGAAAGAAACCTCAGGCTTATTCCACATGATCTAAAATACAACAAGGAAAAGACATTCACAGCAGAACTTCAGAGCCGGCTTCCTTATGAACAGCAGAGAAACTGCTCGCACCCCCGGTCCCTTCCCTCCCATGTCCCAGCCTCGCAGCTCCTCTGACCTGGGAGGTTCCAGGGCCACCAGGCTGCGGTTCCCGCCACTGCGCTGCTGACTGGTGACTTTCCCAGGCCGTCCCGCGCTGCGACTGCGGCTCCGGGGAGATTTCAGGTCCCGAATACCCGGCCGGGTCTTCTCCTGCAGTTAGAGACCACTGTCGGAGTCCAACTGGGAATGGTGGAATTTCCTGTAAGGTCACCAAATTCCTTGGAGCGACTCCTCCTGGACCCTCCCTCTACAAAACCTCCTTCCGGTCACGTACCTGCTCCTAAACCGCATACCCCGGGGCTCTTTTTGATGATTAGTTTCCCAAGTCCACCCTGCTGATTCTTTTCCCTTAAACTCCTGTGATTGACAGGTGTCCCCGCCCCACTGAACCTTCACTCCCACCCTGTCTCAGGCTGCCTTCCACACAGCTCCAACTGTCAGGCTGCCCTGCACCCGCTCTGCACAGCCTCCCCACATGCTCGCTTCCAGCCTAGACCAGAACTGGATCTAGGAGGACGCTGCACCCCGGTTTCTGACCCCCACAGTGAGTTCCGAGCCCTTCAGATAAAAGACAGGCAGCCGAACCTCGACTTGATTACTTGACTTCTGGGCTACATGCTTACACTAAACGATAACAGGGTAAATTCAGATGCCCACGTTCCATCGCTAACACAAACATGACAAGCCAAAACCAAATACTGCAACTGTGACTTGGGGAGAGACATTTCAGGAATTTGGATTTTGAGAAGAAATAGGTGTCTCAAGAGGTCAGAGGTCAGCCCATTGCTAACACCCAAAAGCTGAGTTCGTCCTGCGCTGTACTGCTCTCACCACTAGATGGTGGTCTTATTATTTTACTATCAAACAAGTGTTTCTTTTGTGACTCTTGCTAAAGATGCTTATAGATAAAATATAGGGAAAAAAATTTAATGCACTGCTGAATGTAGAGACTTTTGGTTCTCCCTGATGTAGGAAACGAGTAAGGAATGTGGTCTCACCTCTGAAAAGGCCAGTTACTCCTTCCCATCCATGTCTCTGAGAACTCTGAGGCAAAGGAGGAGGAAAGGAAAAAAGAAGGGAAAGAGGAGGAAGGGCTAAGACATGTCATTCTCTAGACTCCATACAGCTGTGGTAATCAGTAACCAACAGCAACTGTACTGACCTGCATGGACCTCACACTAGACCACAATCAGTCTAGAAAAGGGAAAGTCACATAGGGCCCACTCTTTAAATCTCAAATGTTAGCAATGGATGCATTGTAGAAAAAATCATTACCTTTGGTTGTAGTCCTCTGCTGAGCCCACCAGGCTCGTTCACACAGATCCAAGCCCACAGTCTCGCAGATGGCTTTGGTCAATCTCAGTGGGTCCCAAAGCAAAATGAATTAAGATAAACACAATAGATATTTTTTGGAATTGTGGACCAGGGTAGTAAAGAGGTAGGAAATGAGAATGGACAGTATTTGATACAGACACACACACTCATATGCACACACAGAGACTATATATATATATAAACATATATATATGGATTTTATTATATATACATACACACATATATATGTATTTATGGAATTTATATGAATGTCTTACAACCTGCTGTCTAGCTAATCCAATAATGGCTAGCTGTGAACAGAAAGTCCAAGAATCTAGAAGTCAGTCCACAAGGCTGGATGTCTCAGCTGGTCTTCATTCAGCATATGCTGGAATCCCAAAGTAGTAGGCTCCAATGCCAGTGAAAGAATGGATGAGCTGAAGAAGTTAGGACAAGCAGACAAGAAGCAAAAGCTTCATTCTTCCATCCTCTTTATAGGCCTCTAGCAGAAGTTGTGGCATAGTTTAAAGGTGTATTTTCCAGCCTCATGATCCATTTCAAAGGCATGTGTTCTCCCACTTCAAGATACGGATTAAAGGCATTTGTCTTCTTACCTCAAAGGTCTGGATTAGAAGTGAATCCACACACTTCAAACCAAGCAAAAATCATCTCTAACAGGTGTGCCCTCCATTTCTGGATTGTAGTTCATTGCACATGTAGTAAATTAGACAAGCAAGAGTCGCCATCACAAGTCCATTCCTTGTCAACTTGACACACAAGCATATCTGATTAATTTCCAAATGAAAATAATAATCAATAGGCCCAGGGGCACATTCCATGCCCTTCCCCAACCCATTCCACCCCCAGCATCTGGTCAGCAGGCAAGTCTCCTGCTGCCAAGCTGCTCCATCCCCATCCCCAGAGGCAGAAGAGGACCCCAGAAGCACAGATTCTAACTGCATGGATTGGAAGAAGAGTGATCACGGAGGGATAAGCACCATCTGCACCAATTGGAGGAATAATAAACACCTGTACCTATGATTATCCTAAACCTAGATGTGTAGACGGCAGTGTTAAAATATATTCCACAACATAAAGAACAATATGGCACCACCAGAACCTAGTGGTGCTACAACAGCAAGACCTGAACATCCCAATGCAGATGAAGCAGAAGAGAGAGTCCTTAAAATAACTTTATGAAGACGATAGAGGCCTGTAAAGAGGAAATTAAAAATTCCCTTAACGAAATGGGGGAAAAGACAAGCAAACATTTGGAAGAAATCAGTAAATGCCTTAAAGAAATCCAAGAAAAAACAATCAAACAGCTGAAGGAAACAGTTCCAGACTTGAAAATTGAAATACAGGCAGTAAAACACAAACCAAGGGAATTCTCAAAATGGAAAGTCTGAGCAAGAGAACAAGAACTACAGATGCAGGCATAAACAACAAAATACAAGAGATGGAGAAGAGAATCTCAGGTGATAAATATAGGATGGAGGAAATAGAGTCATCAGTTAATGAAAATGTCAAATCCCACAAATTCTTAACAGAAAACATCCAGGAAATCTGAGGCACCATGAAAAAACCAAACCTAAGAATAAAAGGTATAGAAGAAGGAGAAGAATTCCAACTCAAAGGCACAGAGAATATATTCAATAAAATCATAGAGGAAAACTTTCCCAGCCTAAAGAAGAAAATGCCTATGAAGGTACAAGAAGTTTACACAACACCAAATAGACTGGGGAAATAACTGAGGCTCAGACACAGCTCTGGCAGGCAATACCTGGACCTATGAAAAGTCATAAGCTGACCTCACCCAGTGGGGCTTGCATCTAAGAGAAAATACATGACATTCAAACATTGCATATTCCCCTAGACAAACGTCAGCCACTCAGGGTCTTGAACCCTGGCAATTCCCTCATTCCAACCTTGGCTATGATTAAAAAAAAAAAACAAAAAACATCCCACCTGAGCTTGGGGCTCTCTGCTCTCACCACTGCATCTGACAGAGAGACCAAGCTCAAGCGTGAAATGAAAGGCTCTTTGCTTTTACATATAGGATTCGGTCTCTGTGGTGGTCTTTTGGGGGTCCCCGAGATCTGGGCATAACAGTATGATGAACATATTTTAATTTTCCAAAATCTACTAAGTGAAATACATCCACTTGCCAAATTTTCATTCCTTTGTGTACCTTTAGGATTAGTCCCTGTAGGTAAAGGAACTTGATTGTAAAAAGAACAAGCAGGATGGTTTTTTATGATTTCCTTATCCTGTCACTTCCCTTTTTAGTTCTTTCCAGTACCTTCCCCAGGAACATACCATATTTTTAGTATCATTTTGTACGCTGTTTCTGAGATTGTAGGAGTATTAATTTGAGCTCCCCATTGTTGTAACAAGTCTCTTCCCCATAAATTCATAGCTATATCAGGCACAGAAGGCTTTACTATCCCTCCCTGTTCTGTCCCTATACATTTAATCCACTCTACACTCAGTTTTACTCGAGATAAAGTTCCAATGTCCACAAACTGAGTAGAGACTTCTTGTAAAGGCCAGTTGGGACCCCAGGATTCTTGTAAAATGATAGTTATATCAGTATCAGAATCCAATAATCCTTTGATCTCAATCCCATTTAATTTTACTTTTAATTTAGACCATTCATCACTGATAACTGTTTGCCAAAACACCCTTTTCCCTGTACTTTCAAAGCCTCCTGTCCTACTCACTAGAGCTGTTCTGCCTTCAAGATATGGAAGCAATAACTGAGCAATTTTATCACTAGCTTCTATTTCCATGGTCCTTTTTACATATGCCATCTATAAAAGCATTAAAGACAATCTCTATAGAATTTTAAGAGGTATCTTTAGGTAATACTCTGAAGTATTTTTATAAAATCTTAAAAAGAGGATCT